CCCCCCCCCCGGGGATTAAGGCCACCTCACGATGTAGGATATGCTACCCCCACCTCCCGTTAACACCTCCCGTAGATGATAAGCCAAAATATAGACCACGTGACCAAAACTGTGGGGACAAGAATGAAATATACCAGGAAAGCATTGGGTATCAGAGGTATTTATTTCCTCGCGTGCGTTTATCGGAACGGTTCATTCATTTTTGTCAAGTATACCTGAATTACTATTTTTTTCTCTGCAGCTATATTTACGGCAAGGACATTCCAGCCACTCCCCTTTCACTGTTTCTGTTTAACGTTGGTAAGTGGCAAGACACGGTTTGGCAGGAAAGAAAAAGATTTTTGTCTCCTTACATCCCTTTCGAGGAGAAGTTTATTGGTGAAGTGTTTGGAATGGGCGAAGTTGAAGTACGTTACACAGGTAGCTTTCGGGCTGGACTGCAATCCTTGGGGATGTCCGGATCCGACAATGACATGATGTACATCTACAAATCCATAAGGGTAAACACCACTCAGAAAGCAAGTACTACAGACCATTTAACCATTAAAAGTTCTGATCAGCCAGGTCATGTATATCTGAGGGTTAACGTCCCCAAGTCAGTTTTTATACAGTCATATCACAGGATTGTTTTAAACGTGCAAGCGGACAACTTTGGTTTCCCATCTCCAGGAGAGGTTGACAAAATCTTAGATGAATCGGGGTTGCAAAATCTACAAGAGGGGTCGTGTGAATTTTTTCTCTCATCCGAAGTCTTTACCGAGCTTCATTCTCGTTTCAACTATTTTCGGTTCGGCGGTTGGGTGACCTTTCAACAGTCTGGTCCAGCTTCAACTGTACGCTGGAACATTTCCACATTGCCTAATTACGTGAACCTTGGGCCCCTGGATAATGTGTTCGCTCTTCACTGTCCCTCTTGGCCAGAAGAGGCATCTAGTTGGCTTAAAAGGGAAAGAAAGTTTGGCTTCCCTAGGGACGATGTTGTCAAAAAGATGTTAGACTACGGAGTCGACCTTGTCCCCAAGCCCAGAAAAATGGAGCACCCATCCTCATACCAGAGAAGAAAAACGTTTATGTGGAGGCTTTCGTTTTCCGTCCCTGAGCTGTTGCTTGTCAATTCCTGGAATGAAGCCCAAAGGATCTGCTACAGGTACGCTAAAACGCTGATGAAGACAAATCTTAAACACCTGGACATTCCAAGTTATTGTGGCTTAAACGTAATGTTTTGGCTGATCGAACAGACGAACCCAGCCCACTGGGTTGGTCATCATCTTGTCCTTTCGTTGCAGATGTTTTTTAAAAATTTGGAGCGATGTTGTCTGGACGGTTTTTGTTCTCATTATTTCATACCTGAGAACAACCTATTCATAGATATTTCTCAGGATAAACTGCTCAAGGGATCACAGACCTGTAGGGACATCAGTCAGAACTTGTACGTTCATCTCTGGCTAGATGAAGGAATTTGGTGCTATTTGAGTGGACTTCGCCAAATCACTTGGCATTCATTTAATTCCTCATCAACATTGTGCAAAATGTGTGATGAGAACATATTGGCGGAGTTTTTGGAGAGGTGGTCGCGGGCCTTATCAGACTTGCAACGGTCTTGCGAGAGAAGTTTTCGGATTTATTACTGCTTAAAAGTGTATAGAGAATTGGCTCGTGCCTGGTGTGCGTCAGAGCAATACCCTCAGCGAAGGGAATTCATCCTCAAGGCTGTGAGAACATTTCTGCACGACTCTCGCAAAAGACAACAAACGGCAGAGGAGCAGTTCATTGCTGACAGTGTTTGCTTTGCAAACCTGAGGTGCTTGAGGGCCTATTTCCATGAGGTTACATCCGTCTCAGAATGGCGCTTTTTCTACCGAAAGGAGTTAATCCAACTGCAGCAAGATCTATTTCATCGAAAGGACTTTCAGGGCTCTGTCAATGTAGCTCTTCATTTTTACTTGCATGGAAACTTTGAAGCTGCAGTAAGAGTTTTAAAAAGTGACCCTTTGACGGATGAAACTGACAATAGTGCGCAAAGTATTCCAGTATTTTCTCCTTTCGATAAAAGTTCTGCTGACCCATTCATCAGAGAATTTCCCTTCAAAGGACACGCATTTTACTGTCCAGAGATCGTCGTTCGTTGGTACCTGTTGTGGAAATGCTACCTTCTGATGGACACAAACGACACGGAACGAGCTGCCTTGGCTCAAAGGAAGCTCAGAGAGCTGGATCTCTGCAATTTATATCAAGAAAACCTCAGAATAATGAAACCATTATTTGAACCGTTTGGGAGATATTTGAAAGACCTTGCTATCCGACATATGGACAGGTCATGATTACGACTTAATGCACTACCTTGTCAAAACGTGGCCTGAGGAGACGTTGGAGAGAGTAAAAACGGTGACCTACGTTGTTCACGTGAACGCTCATGATGAACAACTGTAACAAACACGAGTTATGGTTTTAAGCCCCGTGCAAACGGACGCAACATTCAGTTCCTAACAATGCTGGGAGTTGTTGGTCGACAATGTTGCGTCCTTTTGCACTGGGCTTTAAAGTATACTGGACTTTGTAACTGTATAGTACTTCTCGCTGAGCAAAGCTGTAAATAAATGAAAATCAGCTTTCAAAACAATTATACTGATATTAATTCAAAGATGAAATGTCTTGTTGAAATGTTAACAATATGGCCAAGGAAGTCACAAAACAAATTTTGCGTCATAGAAAGTTCAGTAAGAAAGATCCAGATGTAAGCACAGCGCACTAAGTTCGAATAGAAATTTACGGTATACCTCTCGAAAACATTGCAAGATTAGTCGATGACTACTCGATCCGTAAACGCTAATTCTGGTTTTAGTGAACAATACTTTAAAATCCAACCGCGCTAAGCAGGTATCACCGGTTGCAGCGGCCTTCCAGCAGGTGACCCACGGGAATACACGGTGTGCAAATCACGGTCCGACCCTGCGCAGTAAGAACATTTATTTACTGATCTTTTGTTCAAAAGAATACAAAACATATCTATACACGTGTGGCGAGGAAACGCAAGGGTTTAGAAAGTATTATGTGTTCAATTTGCAAATGAAGAGACGGTGAGTGGTGAGTCATGATCTCTACTATGATTTTTCCCAACCCCTTCGCTTCTTGTGCCGCATGTAGCCTGTGAATTCCAGATGAACTATTTGTCCTGTTTGGAAAACAAAAATGTGGCAAAAAGGGTCGAGCACGAATCTGATCATTGTTAAAAAACCAAAAGACCTATCATGCTCTGAATTTTACTGTGAAAAATATTAAGAAAAATAAACTTAACAGCATCATATTTTTTCTAACTTCTAAAACCAAATTACTTTGACAAATCACAACAAGTCTTGAATTCAATGTCGCAATTACCGGAGAATTAAGCAAACTAAGTATAAATGTAGCCCCCGGAGACTAGCCTCGTAAAAAGCGTACGAGTGGATGCAAGTGAGGATCTACATCTACAACTTATCCTTACTGAGTAGGTAAGGATACTAATACTCTGCTGGGAGTTGTTGCGTCCGTTTGCACGTAGCTAAACGTTTGACCGGTTTCAAACCTTGCGCAACAACTCTCAGGAAATTCTCAGGAATTTTGATTCTATTCGTAGTTTCATGTCGTCGCGTGACCTTCTATCCTGTGAAATGATCAACTGGTAATGACTTAGAAAAGCATGAAGAGCACATTTTGTCCATGGGAACATTCTCAGTAAGGAATCTACGAGCGGACACACAAAACGTTGCCATGAGGAACAAACGGGCCTTTCCCAGGCTGATGCGGTTTTTGTTATTCTATCTCGCCACCTGTGTGGCTGTGTACCTTTTCTTTCGCTATTACTTGACGAATGACCATGATTATGGAACTCCAATGCCCGCAGCTTTTATTCACGAGAACGTTTTAAGGCCACTGAAGAGCTTCCCTTCTGTTAAACTTACGGTGTCGCCAAATGAATTATTTGAAAAATTATACTACCATAAAATCAGGACAACACCAGGAACGTTCCATGAGCCAAGCTGGCACGAGACAAAGAATGATTTTGTAACAAAACTGGGTGATTCTTCAGAGAAAGGCGATGAATTTATTCCCAACTCATTAATAGGTTTACAAGAGAAAAAATTTGACGGTAGCCAAGATGACATTTTGGTGGAGGAAACTTCAACAAAAGGGAAAACATATAGTTCTTTAATAGCCCCGAACCAAGTGAATAATAGCATGAACTTAAGTTTACTTCATAGTATTTCAGATCTTCAAAGAACTTCTATTTCGTCGTCGACCATTTTGCATCGATATCAAGACTTCCGTAGCGAGTGGTTTCGCCAACGTCGCGCACGCGTAGATTGGCGGAGTATGATTCGACCGTGTATTGATAACTTGCCTTGGGGACTGGTGAAAAATCAGTGGGGGAAGACCAACAGAAGTAGTGCCGCTGCAAGCGAGATTGTCTATCAAGGAATTAAGCCAGCAGGGGAGTTTAGTAAAATTTTCATTCAATCTAAGACAGTTAATAATCAAACAAAGCTGATTGGCGGCGACACGTGGAGGGTGTATTTACGAGGTCCTTCAAGTGTCGCAGCCACTGTATTTGATCATCAAAACGGGACGTATGAAGCTCTGTTTCTCCTCACGGAGCCTGGTATCTACCAGGTGCTGATCTTTCTTGATTATAGCCTTTGTGATGGATTTAAGGATCCACCTCCGGATTGGTTCATCCAAGGCAATGCGCAAGGGAAGTATCAAAGAGATGGCCTCCTAGGTACACTTGATGACTATTTGAATGAGCCCTTTAGAAATGGAAACCGTTTAACCATTACAATACCCAAGGCGCAGTTGAACACGACGTTTATAGGTAGGTAATCAAAGGATGGAATAACGAGAGTTTTCAAGCAGAACTTTCCCAGACACTAAAAATATCATAACTAGCCCATATTGAGCAAAATCAATGAGAAATGCATCTATTTCTTGTCTCAAAAAGTACTGAGAAATAAATGTTCATATGCGTCGCTGGATATCTAAAAATCCTTACCAAAAATCAGTGTACTCATTTGACGGAAGTAAGGCCAAATTGAGAGCTTTTTGGCTGCGATAAGCCAGAAAATGACACCACATTAAAATTATAAAATTTTCCATATTTCGGATTGCTAGTTGAGGAAGACCCATTTTACATATCAAAGTGAAAAAGAAGCATATATTAAAGGACAGTAGCATGACACCGATACTGATTTTCACAAACAAAAATTCGGTTTTATCAACAGAGTTGTTGAGTCAATTTACATTGTAAAAAGATTCAAAAGAAGTCGTTTCAAAGCACTAGCCACATTTTTTAAAAACTGTATCTCAAACGGTATGTTTTATATCCTGCTGTTTGTTTTTCGTATTATTACCATTTCGTTTTCAAACTTTACTTTGCCAGAATCACTTCACGAGGATTTAGGTTCCTGTTCCAATACCTGCAATCACCTATGGGATGGATTTGGACAATGGCAAAGCAACCAATGGAAGCCTTACCTTCAAGGTCAGTCAACATATTATGTCTTCCATACCCAGTTTAGAGGCGAAAAATACGGCAGGTTTCAGTGCGTCGAATTTACGATTTAGCGGACGGGCCTCGGCAGCTTCGTCAAACGGGTCTTTACTATTCCGGTGCCATCGGTTCGCCTCGACGCCGACAAGTATCTGAATAACAAGATACTGTGGTCAGTTAAGTAAGAGTGACAACCTGAACTCTTAGTTCGTGTTGTCTCGTTTGTCGCGATCAACAGCGGTATATATATCCACTTTCGTCTTACTTTTTATGTTTGCTTCTGACCCTAGACTTGTTTTCAGTGGAGGCTAGGTATTTCAGATCATGTTGTTTCTTCGGGCATCAAACCCTTTTCCATGGATATCGGGGACATGCGATGAGGGCGTGCGTCTCCCATCGATCAGGGCTTACAACTACTCACATGCAGTCTTGTTCTGTAGATGTATGACCTTCAAACACAAGAGCGGTGAAGGGCCTGCATAAGTTATATGCTAATGGGGTAGGGAAAGTGAGCCGTTAGCTTCCTGGCCTTTTATCTCCTTCATCATCCTGTATCAACTTACATGGGACGTGAAGAAACCACTGTGTTTCTTAAATAGAGCGGGGGGTTAAACCCTGGTTGTTTGATCAATCTTTCGGGCCCTTTCCCGATTTTTTTCTGATGGGAGGGGTCTGCAGTACACGGGCTAGGTTTGTGAGGGGCAAATTTTACTCAAAAACCTTTAGTACTACGCCAGACCGATTGTTATCACCGCCCGTTTGGCATCTCTGAAATAAAACAACAACAACAAAAACAATATATGTGGGTGCCCTGTTAAACGAATTTCTTTCTCTGCATGCATTACAACAGAGTCCTACGACTGGGCGTTACCGCTACTATACAAGCAGAACGGAACATTTTGGGTCTACGGCGACTCGTTGGCCCTTCGTCTGGTGAGTTCAGTTCAGACTCGGATGTTATGCACAAAGCTCTACACGGGGTGTATATCAAGCTACAACTGGATTTATCCCATTGTAAATGAGGCAGTGGATAAGGAACTGAACGACGATCTTGACTTCAACCCTGAAAGAGTTATCGAGACAATCCTTGCCGTTCTTCGTCACCCTCTGATGCAGCAGCGAGAAAGCAGTGTTCTTCTACTGAACCTTGGAATTCATTATCCTATTGGGGTGAACTTTACAACTTACCAGAAGCTAATTGGCGACTTGATAAACAAACTAAAGGAGACAAGAGTTGATTCGCAAGGAAACGTAGTTCCTAAGTACAAGGCCAAAATTATCTGGAAGACATCGTCTGCTATACACAAAGAAAAGGCTCAAGAACTCAACATAACCCACTGGCGATTCTTCACCACTCAGGTACATGAAGCAGGCGTTATTTTTGGCGCATTTCAGGCGAGAGGGACGCCGTGGCTAGGTGTGGTGCGCCAGACACGCGTTTTCATTTTCGCCCCATTCTTCGTTGCGCCTGTCTGGTACTTCACGCCTGCCCACGCGGATCTCGCGCTTGCCCTCATTCGCCTAAAAAACGCGAAAAAATAACACCTCTTCATCAGGAGGCAAACACAACCCTAACACTCCCACTTTGCTCCACCCCAACCTCGTCCCAAGGGCTTTTCCCTTAAAAAATGGAAAAGCCCTGGGGACGAGGTTGGCTCCACCCCAGAATATGTCTTTATCTAGACTACCCATTAGTCTAGTTTGCGGAAGGAAGTAAATCCTGTTTACACTTTAAGTCACAACCAGTTGAAATTGGTTGTGAACACCGTATGCGGGCGCTGTCAGGATCCCGGTGCTGTCCCAATCATCTCAACGCGACCGACTGAGAAATTAAATTGGTACAGATGTGACCGCTCTGTTACTCGGTTTTTTTGTAAACTGTCGATAATTGATGAACAATTAATATGTATTAAACAGGAAACTGGAACGGGAAAATGCAAAAGAGACTATCGAAAGAGTACTGAAACTGGCATAGAAGAAAAAAACCTTTGAGCAGTTATTCAACACTGTTACTTTAGCTGGTACCAAGAGACATAATGAGATATTATGGCTCTTGCTGGTACACATAAAAAGGACCAGAAAAAAGGGTTCGTAACCGTGCTTTTTATTGATTTTAAAATATTTTGTTTTCATCAGCGAGTTGCAGTGTTCAGTAGCTATGCGATGTCAGCCATGTGTGAAGCCGGTTTTGACGTCATAGACATATATCCCATGACTGACTCATACCCAGGTGGCACGCTGGATGTGGTTCATTACCCAAATCACGTGTTCAGCTCCATGGTAACAATGCTGGAGAAATACAAAGTGAACAACTACAGACAATTGAGCGGAAATGAGACACTCAATAGAATAAAACGTTGCATCGGTTGATTAGTACGAAGTGGATAACTAGGACAACGACGAGACCGTGAACAGGAATATAGAGAAAACATCAGAAAAACAGGAGGACAATGGAACGATTAAATTACCGAAATATGGAAAGTTTGATCTTGATTTCGACAAGCTCAGTTACAAAAAAAGGGGAACTGTAAACAGTCTCTTCTGGGATAGCCCCTAACCCCGTGTTAGGACTTTCTTCTGAGGGCAAAATGATGGCTGAGGGAGGGGTTGGTGGGCAGTTTTTTTGTAATATCAAGGTGACGCGTAAAGGTGGCCAAAAGTGTTAGAGCCAATTAAAAAGGTGTACCAACCCACTACAACTATCACCACCATCAACAACTGTACTGTGAAACCTCAGGGAGGCTTCCATATCTTAATTCTTATTGTGACACTGTCTTAACAATACCACCCTGTCAAATAAAATAGCTACATTTTTAGTTGAGTTTGCTTTATTATTGAGATGCAAGCGTTTCTTTTTCTTTTTTTCGTGTGTGCACGTCAAAAGGGGATTCATGGTCCCAGGCGTTCCTAGCGGAGACCGTGGAAACTGGGGATAAGGCTTACACCTAGAGTTGGTTTCTGCCTTTCTTTACTCCTTTAATTTGACTCTCTATAAGACGGACATCTCCTTAAGACGGACACTTGGTGTCAGCCTTAAAGGTGTCCATCTTTGAGAAAGTTGACTGTATATCCATTAGACTAAAATGAACATTAGCCAATGATTTTATCAAATTGTTCAGAGAACCGGTTACACTGCTTCACTGACCAAAAGTCTTCCAGGTTTTCGTAAACTTTGTATGGGGTAGATGCATTGTTTGCCAGGGCACACAGGTCACAGGTCCAGTGGCCCAGGCAAGTCATATCACCCTTCTGCAAACAGTCATTCCGTTTATACTTTGTTCTCCAGCTTAAGTACTCATTGTAGGCAGTGTTATTCTTGTCCAGGTATAGCAAGTAATCAGCAAGTTCCTTGACGGATGAAAAATCCCTCACATCAATATAAGACCCTGGAATAGCTATTTTCCCGTAGTCCGCACCACCCATTACAATAGGAACAATACCATTGTCTAAGGGAGAAAGCCAATACTTCTCTGTCACGTAATCAAGGCATTCAGTGTTTTCAAAAGCAAGCTGGAATTTGTACGTCTTAAGAAGTTTGATGCAATTTTCGTCGTCATGATGGCAACTTTGACCGCTGCAACCACCGAAAATATCCACCTTTAAAAATTGTTTCAGTTTCTCAACATACGAGAAACGTTTGCCACGGCAGTTACTGACTGTCCACACAACTAATTTGTCCTTCCCAAAGGAATAGTCTTGAATGGAAGCGTTTTCACCAACAGACTCAAGTTGGGTGAAGAAACCGTACGGCACAAAAACATCAGAATCAGTTCGATAGGTCAACGTCCAGTTGAATAACCCTTTCAGCTGACTGGTTTCAATGCTATTCAACGGGCTTTCAAGAGCAAAAAAGCCCCAAGTTTGATTCGAAGGTCTGCGGTTATGCAGTTCGCGAAGAGTGGTCTCATCCGTAAGGTCGCTTTTGTAACCGTGAAATATCACAACGTCGCTGGTTTTGAAATCTTCCTTATTGTAACTCAAAATACAGTTTCGAACACGGCAGGGCTTCCCGTTAGACAAAGTGAATTTTTGTGAATCTTCCAAGCCTTTCCAAGGAATTGAACTGAAAAACGCAGTGTAAATCAACACCGTTCGAGGACGAAGATCAGATTTTTCCTTCTATGGGCATTAGCCGGCATTGGAACACCACGAAGGTAGAACAAAAAGAAACACAGGCAAATTAATAAAATAGGTCAAAAAAGGCATGGCCCAAAACAATAGTACATAAATTAAACTAAAGAAACCATAACAATAAAATGCGTTCGGTTACCTGTAGAGAGTTCTCAGAAGAGACTGAAATATTCAAAGAGAATAATCTTGTCTGATTTTTTTCAGCTGCCTTTTTAGGGTGGTAAGTAAAGTTTGTATGATTAAAAACAATAATAAAGACGAGAATTATCGTTGAAACCAGAACGAACACCACAAGAAACATTACAGACGCTTTCTTCAACATCTTAACACATGCAACAGCCACGTAACAGTGAAACTGGGTCTAAATAAATAATTTGAACAAGAAACTGTCACGCTTACATGTGGTGGGCACCTGAAAAACGATAATGGACTGCATGGATTTTGAACTGCATGTACACGGTGGAGTGGGCTAACAAAAAGTATATAAGAAAAACGAAAAAAAACAAAAGTAATTTCAATGTAACAAACTTCTGTATAACGAAAAAACAAAAATAATTTCGATATAACGAACTTCTGTAACGAATTCCTCGTTTGTTACATTTGTGACGAGTTATTTCATTTGCTTGTTGCTCCAGCACTACCCTCTTCTGTTCATCATTTTCTTCAAATTGCACTAAATTCAAACTGTCCAAACATAGAGTACATAAGAGGACGATTAGGGAAGGGGGCAAACAACAATCTACTAGTTTTAATTTTAAGGAAACGTTTTATTTTCTGTCTTAATTCAATAGGCCATTTCCGAGTTCCCTCGGGCCTCTGTTTCAAAACGAGGGTAGATGCTCAGCCTTTGATGTGGAAATCATTTTCCATTCTCATGCAAATAAAACTCATTTTCACAGGAAAGGTTGTGCACCTAGCCTCATTTTAAAAGTGAGAGTTTTTGGAACTCGGAAGTGACCTATTTTAGAGAATTTTTCTACACAGACTGTGTAGAGAGGGGAAGTCGTTACGTCCGTGTCGTTGTCATGGTAGCAAAATTTTTTGGGATGACAACCATAACCGACAATTCACTAAAAAGTAAAGTCGCACTGTTTCAAACTTCTTCGATCCTATTCAATTTCATTTAATTTGTCAAATGTTGGCGAAATTTTCTGGATTGAATTCGAAAGAACCGTATCTGAGTTTAGAAAAAGAAAGAAGAAACTTTTTGGCCTTCGTTCACCTACTCGGTAAAGCGGACGCGTGAAAATAGGAAGTTTCATGTCGTAGTGAAGCAAGGATGGCTAAAAAATGTGCAAAAAAGCGTGGTGCACGTGCAAAGTTGTCTTTTTACTAATATATACTTACTGCTTTTTTTGCCGTTCTCCGTCGCTCCCTTTTGTTGTGATCCAAAAGTTTTCCTACCATGGTAACATGACGTCACACTTCTTCTCTCTGATGTACTTGGGACATTGGGACGTAGTTCTTTCCACGTGACTGAAAGGTAAGAATTTGTCCAAATTGGACAGTGAACGATTTCCAAGGAAAAAGCTATGTTAATTGCTCTGTGAACAAGGTTATGTTTATTACAGGGAAATTATTTTTAATTAAACCGAGCAAAGGAGCTGTTTAATGAGCGTTTGCATTGTATAGCTCTCCGGATATTAAATAGGGGAAATTTATCTGACGATTCTCACATTATATTGTTATATACGACAAAAGGAATTACTTGCCTCACGCGGTCTCCTTAATTTCTAATTGTATTTGGTCTTTGACTTTTATCTTGGACTAAGTGTTGAGCGTAATTGCCAGTTAATTGCAAATGAATAAGGAACACTGAGAAAGTTAATTACCACAGTAGTTGCGGGCTCACCGCTGCAAATTGCGGTGATAGAAAAGTGCTTTAGAAGCGTTTTAATCTTTTTCCGGTAACGTGTTAAAAAACTGTCAAGGACCCGCCGTTGTTGCCCCATTCTGAACTCAAGTTTATATATTCGCCTGGCTCCACGTGGATTAGTCAGGGCAGTGAATACAAATTGCTGTCGTCGAAGAAATGATGATTATCAAGATCTTCGTGTATTTTTTTCTACTTCTCATTGGTATTTTCCAACCACCAGGTAAATGTACTAGTATTATCTTCTGCACGATAATTGTTTTTTCTAGTAAAGGGTATCCGCGGGTTAGCCAGGATCATATACTTAACTGGAAGAAGCTAAAAGTACGTTGAATGCCTGTCACGTTTTCATAAAGATATTCCATGAATAAACAGATTAACTGCCTCTGGACTTCTGTTATGTTTCAGCTACAATCACCACATCGCTTCAAGTAAACATAGCTTGTAACGGAAAATTGTCGTTTTACGACAGTGAACGAAAAGAGCTACTCGACTCACGAAATCCGGAAAATAAGTATGTAAGGTACACGCTTAATCCAGGAACTAAAGTTTTGGCCTTTAAATGTCGTAGTTACAACAAAACTAAACCACTGATGATGGGCAGCGTAAGCAATGGATTGGTTACAGACACTAGATGGAAATGCATCAGCCTTAACGAAGACGAAACTCGAAATTTTGGTCTCAAATCTTGGACCAAAAAGGACGACGTCGACGACAGCCATTGGCCCCAGGCCGTTGGATACTTCTCAAACCGAGACAGCCCTTGGGAAAAGGTTCCAGATATAAGCGAAGATGCTTTCTGGATATCCACGGCTGCTGAAAAAGACTGGTGGCTGTTTTGCCGACGACGACTATCTGAGATGCCTCTGAAACAAAGAATGCAAAATGGTTTGTCTATATATTGTTCCTGCTAATCGTCTACAATGCCCAACAAAACGTTTTAAAATACTTTGTAAAATTGAGCTTCCTTCACTTTCATTCACACCTTAACTTTTTTTAGTTACGAAACAGTTAAATTATTTGGAGAGTGGGATATGTTAATTTGGTGGACAAGCCATGAAACTCTCTGTAGCAGGATTTAGCTCCCTCGGCTTCTCCCTCTACTTTACAATATTTACACTCAGTACGCAAATTTAAAATAATACATCAACTTTGAAGTGGGCAGTGACATGTTATGATAATTTTTCAGTCTCCAAACTGTCAATGACTGATGAAGCTTCATTCGATTCTATTCTCCCTTAATCACAATTGAAGTGGATAGTGGAGGGCTTCAAGGATTTATGACCAGGATTTTTACTAAGCTAGGAAGAGAAAATAGCGGTCGCCATCTCTTTAAAAATGGAAAAAACTAAAACGAGAGAAACAAGGTGACGAACTCTGTACCACTTAAACCTTTTCCGCCTTCTTTTAGTAAGGACATCACATTTGAAATAAATTATTGGCTTGATTATATTATCCTCTACTTAGCCAGCGAATACTCCAATAAAACAGTGTACCGTGCATAATTATTACGATAAATTTTATTTCTATTTGTAGGGGTTTTTCAAGCAACGCTAGCTGACGTAGATCACGCCCTTTCTAGTCACCCTCGGTCTCAACACGAGGTCAGTGACGTCATGCAGTGTTTCAAGAGATGTCATAATGATTCCCAGTGCCTCTCGTTCAACTTTGAGTACGCTACAGTTAAACTCTCGAAAACATGCGAGCTAAATGGCGTTACTAAGAACCAAGATCCTTACCATTACGTCAGCAGGCCTGGTTTCACTTATTACGAGAAAGTAGGATGACCGTCGAAGCGAAGCTGACGCATATTTTGTGTTGTGGTGTCGACTGGGTCTTTTTTCCTGTCGATTATAACCATATTTATAAACTCTTGTAAAGTCCGTTCGGTCACTTTTATCTTTCCAAGGTATTCCTTTTAGCCTGCTTTACCTCCTAGACCGACTGATTTCTTTAGCTAAAGGCCCTGTGTGGCTTACTTTGCTTACATCTTTCTTAAAATCATGTTAATAGTCGGATTTCGTGTACAGTATAAATAATGTTTGAACCTTTATTATGTTCATGCACTGATGATTAAAAAAATCTGTTTCAGCACCAAAGTGCCAGTTCAGCCCTGCACCCCCTTCTGGAGTCATTTGAGCATAATTTAAGCCTAAAAACAGCTCAATCAAAAGGCTATTCCAGCCCACGCTGGCGGGGGCCCATTTCAGCCTTTGGGTCCAAATCGGCCCAGGTAGTTGGACTGTATTGGCCCTCTTTTAAGGGAGTCAAATTAGATTCAAAAATAGGATTGTATTTTACTCACCCTAAACGGCCCCATTTTAAGGGCCAAAACAGATCTTTCTCATTTACGGTGTGACCTTTCTCGTATCTCCTTGGTGATTGTTTGCCATCGTAGGCAATCCCTCACTGCCATGAAATATGAATCAGCTCCTAGGATCACAACCTTACCTGTGCCTTGAATACTTTTGTAATGTAAAAAGGCTGATGGTAGGTCACATTATCATTTTTCTCTCTGGCAAACAACTGTATTTAGAATAAAACAACGGCTGGATTATTTAATAAGGAAGACCGAGTTACTTCACTTTCGGTCAGGATATAATTGAAATCAAATGTGCCATGATTGCACAACTGTAGAAAGCGATTCATTGCCTTTACTTTCTTCATCAAAAGAAAAAGTTTTTTGCTCTTTTTGCCATTTGTTTCGCAAGACGTGAATTAATTAAGCTTGACACTTTTGCCAACCTTATAATTATGAATACTGATGGTTCTGCTCCAATTTGCATCAATTCATTTGCTTATCAAGGACTCTTTTGTTACACGAATAACAGCAAACTACCATTAATTGCTGAAACCAATTAAAAATAAATAACACCTGTTCACCACTTCCTAAAATTGTCCCCAAACCAAACTGATAGAATAGTAAATTAACCGGGCGTTTGAGAATTTTCACTTTGAAGATAAATGGTTAATTAAACAACACCATCTGTCTAAATATACAGGTCTCTTGAGGAGTCGAAGTTGCTGTTGTGTTTAATTTGGTTATCTATAGCGGATTTGAGGTGATTTTATCGATTTTCGTCAAGCAAAACGAAATGAAACATTCTTTTTTGTGTCTTCTGCTTGTCACTATTTTCCTTTCTTCAGGTAAGAGTAGTAATAATGAACAACGCAAGATAGTTTAAACCTAGATATGATGGTTTAAGAAAGTCGTTTCGAGCTAATTTTAGGCCGGTGTTTATTCTAAATGAACCCTTTACTAAAATGTTCTAAGTAACTCCATTTTAGTAACACTAAAATTTTCTTTAGTATTCGCTGAGTAACTTTTCTGGTTGTTCTCTCGGGTGTTTGATATGATTTTTTTAACGAATGATATCTTTTTCGTGCAAGAACCTTGCATTTGTTAGCAGGGCAACTAAGAAATAAAACTAAATTACAACCACAATATTTTCTTAGCCTGGGAATTAATGTTGGGACTCAATATTTCTTTCTCAACAATCCTGGAATTTGTTCTTTTTATATTTTTTATTGTAATAAAAGTCAGTGTTATTTTTTAATTAAATTCAATTTACAGAGTAATTTATAAATCTCCCATATTTTGCCAGCGAGCGCTTGTTATAAAAACTGCCGCTGGGTTTAAGCCAGTCAGAAACAACGGAGGATATAAATTATTCCGCCTTGACCGATCATACTAGGTATTCAGCGAAGTACAGTTTCAGAGGAACTTTCTCAAATATTTTATTGTAAGGCTTTGTTATAATTAGGCCTGGTTGTTAGGATAGAAGCAAAGAGAAAACATCATTGACAGGACACCTTGGGAAACAACTTCCGAGTATTTACTATTTGATGATTAATATATCAGCTGCCTGAGTCTTGGTTGTTAGCTTTCGGTACTTTTAGGTGCTATTTGCGTTCTACTTAATGTTGCTGCCCATTGTGTATGGCACACAGTACAAAACCTGATCAGAATTGGAGGATGCTATAATTAATAAAATTTTTATCATCGTTTTTCAGGGGAGTCAAACGAGTGTACTAAATATCGAACAATTAACGACGCCAGCCGTGCAGCAAGCAACAATAATCCACAATATAAATGTGATAGAAGAGATGATAACATATCTACTGGATGGTATCGCATAATGGGGAAGACTGGTAATCACGTTCCAGAGTATTGCATTCCTATAAATCACTGCGGTACCCACGCACCTGGTTGGCTCAATGGGATACACCCAAGCGTGCAGGAAGGCATAGTGATTCGACAAGTTTGTTATCACTGGCATGGCAAATGCTGCAAATGGAAAAACAACATCAAGATTCGTAACTGTGGAAACTATTACGTGTACCACTTAGTTAAGCCTCCTGTGTGTCTTTTACGTTACTGTGGGGACTGGCTCCGCGAATGGAAAGGTGAGGTATCAGTTTGCCGTTATGAACTGAGTGCCGGGCAGGAGACTATACTTGTGGGTGAGAAACTCGTCTTGAAGAACACTAATCTCGTACCCAGACCTCACTCTGTCTTACGCTGAAAAGATCCGGAGGCGAGGTTAAAAGGTCATCTGTCTCTTTTACGTGTTTCTTCGATTTATCCTTTACCCTCTAATGCCTGCCCCCCCCCCCCCCCCCCCCTTTACCCCCCCCCCCCCGCCCCGCCCCCCACCAAACCCACCCCCGCCGGCTCCCCCCTCAAAATACAATTTTTTTTTTATGTAATTTTTTTTTAATAACACGCGTATTCTCACATGTGAGATGGACTCAAAAATGTGGTGTGAAACACCTCCTTTGAAAAAAAACAAACCGTGCCCCCCCCCCCCCCCTTTTTTGCTCAGAAAAAATGCGGGGGGGGGTTTAAAGTGCTCCCTTTTTCTTTTTCTTTTTTTTTTTTTTTTTCTTTTCCCCCCACTTCCCCCCCCCCCCCCCCCCCCCCCCAGATAATGCGCCAGAGCCCAGTTCTGGGTACAATAAATCAGCGTACGGGTTCTGCTACTTATAGAAGAATTTTGTTTTTCATATAACGTAGATTATAAGTACCCGCACTGTATAGGCAGGGACGTTTAAGCAGAAATCTCTTTATCTCAATCTAGACAGTTTGAGAAACGGCCTCGTTTGCACAAATGTGGAATAATACCCTAAGTTTTGTTAACAACCATAAGCTGCTTTACTTGCGCATATTTCTTTTAACATAATAAGCATTGTAACATTTTCTCAGCTGTTAATACAATTGTCAACTTAAAAAAAAATGTTAACCCCACTCAGCTTAGTCTAAATAGAGGCAATTCGGTACCTATTAATGAAATGTATTCAGCTACGAAAGGGAGAGAACCAGCAAGCAAACTGCACATGGCTACATAGAACGTGCAATCTATTTTTGAATGCACTTTTTTCTCGAGCTTATGTGATGAGACTTTTCTTGAACTTTGCCCTCTTAGGACCTTGGACTTCGCCTTTACTTTCCCTTTTCTTTCCTTTTGCAGCTAAAATAACGTGTAATGGAGAACTGGCGTTTTACGACCAACGCCGTGATAAACTAGTTGTGTCAAGAAGCCCGGCAAATATTTCGTTGTGGTCTACTAGCGATTCAGGAATCCAGGTCTTAGCTGTAAGTTGCCATAACAACAAAACTAAGCCGTGGATTAAGGGAAGTGTAAGCAATGGAATGGTTACTGATGATCGTTGGAAATGTTTCAGTCAAGAGAAAGAAGGTTTGGACAACATGAGCTGGGTAACATCTCTCTTCGACGATACTCATTGGGCCCAGGCCGTTGCAAATTACTCGAATACACACAGTCCGTGGGGAAAGGTCCCAGATATAAGCAACAATGCATTCTGGATATCTACCGCTGATAAAGACGACTCAAAGCTGATCTGCAGGCGAAGGCTGTCTGAAGTGTCTCTAATACGGAAAAGATCAAATAGTAAGATTTTTATCATCTCGAGGCTTAATCATCATCATCATCATCATTATCATCATCATCACCATCATCATTATCATCATCATTTAGTAATAACAGACTGCAAAAACCATGTACGGCTATACTCTCATGACGTTGGATCAGCACGTGCTCTGATCTAAAGCAAGTATGGTGGATCCTTTTCTTTTTAACAGGGTGAGGTTGTCAGCCCCACGCCCCAATAATGTCATAATCAGCTCCTGTCCTAAGGAAAACCAGAATGGCCATCATAGGCAAAATGTCTTGATTTAAGAGAAAGTTATTCTGATTGGTATCATGCAGTGGCACGTTATTAACAAGCACAATTTTTATTATCTCTGTAGGAATTTTTCAGGCAACACTTGATGATGTAGATCACAGTCTCTTAAGTCACCTGAGGTCTCGACACAAGGTTCGTGACGTCATAGACTGTTTTAAGAAGTGCCGTGATGACCAGCAGTGCCTCTCGTTCAACTTTCAGTATACTACAGTGGTACCATCTAAAAATTGTGAACTGAATGGAGTTACCAGAGGCCAAGATCCTAAGAATCACGTCAGGAGGCCTGGCTACACATATTATGAAAATGTAGAATGACCGGGAGAAGGATGTTCTTTGAATTGGAATTGAAAAGAGCATCTTTTTCAAATATACTACTGGCCGCTTCCAAACTAGATAAGAGCGAAATTGAACGTGTCCTGAACGATTTATTTTGACATTAGGAGTAGGATTTATATTAGGAGTCATACTATTGACAACTATTGACGTAACTGTAATAGGATAGAGCCTGGAAACGGGATTAGAGTGCTGACATAGGCCAGGGGCAGATCTAGGGGGGAGGGTACAGGGTGTGCGCACCCCCCCCGCGCCCCTGAGATGACCTGCCGTTTTCTAATAGAACTGGTATTCTGCAAAAAAAAAAAACCATGTGAAGTGGAGCAAGAGACGAGTGCGCCCCCTCCTAAAAAAATCCTGGATCCGCCTCTGAAGGCTGATATATAAGTGCCTTAATAGACATGATAAAGTATGTGAAAATAAAGATATGATATCACAATTCACTACTGTTTGATGATTACCCAGTCAATGGAGGGAAAAATGTACACTTTTCTGATGGTATTGTTGGTGGGGAGAAATGCGGGATTTTTGATGTGGGTTGGCTAATACAAAAGGTCCACTCATTTATTGCTGACTGATAAGTCCTTTTGCAATTGAAGATTAAGGGCTACCGACGTTTGCGGGGGTATAAGACAAAGCTACCCATTTGAAATATTTGTCCAGATTGACTGATTTGCGCATTTCCTATTGTGGTCACGCCCCACACCCACCCACGTTTCACGTGTACACACGCGGTCAGGAGCCTATATAAGGTAGTGTTTACTGCACGATCCCACAACTCTTTGATATTTCTTCTTCAAGGCTTCAGATCAATATTTCGCTTTGATACGTGATTATTATACCTTCTCAAAGAATCTGGAATTAGAGGGTTCCCAATAGAGTTTTTTAATTCCGCTATCCCGACCCAAAATTTCGTGCAATCCTGTAATCCTGAGGCTTATTTCTGGCATCCCACCTTCCGAGGATAATTTCAACCTCAAATTTCGCCCCGATTTTGCTTTAAAATTTCCGAATTCCCGGCTTCGAATAAGGGAAATCCCGGATCCTGAAAAACCGATTGGAGATCCTCGATTAGGGCTTTGGTAGATTGTGCTAGCATAATTTTAAGAATAATTTAGCAAAACGAGCATTATTTTAAGCTCTTATTTCAGTTTACCACTGCTAGCATAATCCGAGCTTTTATGCGTTGAAATTAAAAAAAAATGCATCATAGCTCTAGAATAATTCAGTGTGTATTTTATTTCTGTATTGTTTTTGGAAAATATTGAGGTCTGTGCTAAGGCCCATGGTCAAATACGGTCCGGCAGGCGGCAGAGGTCTCCCTGTGCGTAAGACTTAGACTCACTCCACCACGCTTATGGCTCGGCGGCTCGGCCCCTCAGGCCTCAACAGGGCGGATAACCACCGCGGTCAAACGTCTAAATCGTTATTTTTGTTTTTTATTGCTGGGATTTCATTTACCAGTTAGAGAAAAATGGGCAAAGATGTATAAATCAGTTAGTCAACATAACTATCTTTCCATTTTTCTCAAAATTTTGAGCTTTTTTTGCTGAAAACGTTTCGCGCTAAAAGAGAATCATGTTTGAAAATGGCGCCGATAATAACGTCAGCATCGGTTTTCAATCACTTAGAACTTTTTTAGTAAACTTTTAAAAAGTTTAGTAAACTAACAGGATGTTGGTAATACCCTAAACTTTCGATAGTGAAAGTAGCAACCTTAACTTTGAAGTATTTCGCTTAACTTTTGCAAATTTCACTCG